GCGCGCGACCGAACGACGCCGAGCGCGGCCGAATCAAGTCAGCCATTTTTAAGTTTCGAGCGCGGTAGATTTGAATGCTGTGAATGCGATAAAATACGAGAAAATGAATTCAACGCCATCGTCAACCCTGGACAAATTTTCGGCGGTATAAAAAGGGCTCCAAGGGCCCGAAGGTAATTGAAGAATACTGACGTTATCGACAATTAATATAAATTTGCGCTATTATTAACATAAATATTTGGCTAATACATCATTAAATTCATGATTTTTTTATTACATAAATGCTCCATGAATAAATATGCATACATGTAAAACTATAATATCCTTTATATTGCTGAAAAATTACAATTTTTTCTCTGCAGTTATCACTTCTGTTGATAATCAAACTTTGACAATAACACTGAAATCACAATTTTACAGAAAAATCGAGTATTATTGAGTTTTAAATGCATATACACCGATTACTTTTTAAAGTAACATTTGATTGTCGGGAATTAACAATGAATATTATCGAGAAATAGATATTTCAGGCAAAAATTGCGATAAATTAAATTGATATTTTTTTAAAGTGAAAATGATTAAGAAACAAAATATCAAATATTGAAATCTGAGTGCAAAAAAGATTAAATATAAAAGTAGATAATATACTATAATAATAGTATTTAAATATGTTATAATATGACGTAAGTATTAAGAAGAAAAGTTTCAGGAGTTTAATTAATACGTTACGTTAAAGTAACTAAAAATAAAACTCAAATCAAATATTTGAATTCAAACGTAAAAAAGATCAAGTGTAGATCCAAAAATGCTGTATATTAAAAAACATAAATACAAAAAAAAACATGTTTCAAATTGAAGCAAGAGATAAAAGGAAAGAGGAACAGAGAGAGGAGCAAAGTGGAGAAGGTGCAAATAAACGAGCAACTTGGTTCTCGGGAGCAGTCTGGCTCCCTCCAAATTATCGTATTGTATTTACGTCAATTTACGTTCGATCTGACGGATCGCTCAACTGACGTCGTCGCGTCCGTCACCGTCTGCGAAAATTTATTGTCGAATAGGTAAATTCCATACCTTATCGAAATGTGTAGATCTAAGTAAAACGTTTCTGCTCGCGAGACGGCTCGTCGTACACCTAAAAACACGCTCAATACTCATGCCGAACAGAAGTGTCTTCCGCTCGGGAATAAGGAAACTCTTCAAACGGTAGAGCCCTTTTTCGTTTAGTTTTTCTCCGGAATTCGTTGAATGTTACAGCCGATTGGGAATTTCCAGTGATTGCTTGATATTCCGCGATGTTTCTTTTTCATTCTCCGATTTTCTGAGAACGATCGCCGAGACTTCCTTCCAAAACTTCGTCATCGATATAATTACATTTTCATTTACTTTACTGCGTCACAAATCCGCACAATGACGAGGATAACGTCGACTTCCAACGTCTGTCTTGTCATATGATTTTTTTGTTTCATGATTGCTGAATAGTTGTTAACCTTTAAGTGGGTAGGTTTAAAAATTCTCTAAAACCTTCAGAGTGAAAATCTCACTCTAAAAGATTGAAAATTGAGTCACTCTTTTTCAAGATTGGCTTAGCTCGAAATAAGATTTCACCCCAATAAATTTAGAGAAAAGATATGTATTAAATAGGGTGCTCCGAACACCTCTAAAAAATTTTAATTCTACAGTTATACTTTTTACTAGTATATTATGTGGTTAAATTTACATTAGTTAAGCCTAATCTATAATGTATTCTTTGCTTCCCGTTTCATGCTTTTTATCTATTACCTTTTTCCTTCTTTGCAATCGTTTTATCCACAATCATAGATGTTTTCTAGCAAGAATAAAGTGAATCATTTTATCCTTGTTTAATATCAACAAACAACAAGAATGTAATGATTCACAGTATCATACTGTGTTCTTGTTGGAAAACGCTGTTTCTTGTTGTTGTTTCTGAAGTTCAACTTTTATCTCAGACGATAAAAAACGAAGAAACGGGATAAGAGGCAAAATAAAAATGTGGAAAAAACGAGAAGCAAAGAGCACATTGTATATTAAACTTCATACCTTATGAGATGTATAAATGTAAAAATAATAAACTTTAAGATTTCTGGGCAATATCTTTTTCCTTTTCCAGAATAAGATTTAAAGAAAATTATACCTAAAGTACTGTGGCTATCTCACTTACCCACTTAAAGGTTAATGGAACAATTGTTATTAGGAACCAGAGATTTACTATTTTTGTGATTTTACTTCAAATTTAAAGATAGAGTTGATAGTTGAAACATCTTTTCATCTCAGTTAAGTATGTGAAATTTTTTACATTGATACTTCTTTCACTCACATGGACGACTTTTTAAGCATAAATTTATGTAATAGGAGCTTTTTTAAAGCCATATACTTAACCTCATAAGATCATTGAGTAACATTACGTGAATTATCCAATCTTTTAAAGATATAAATTCTTCGTTGTATTTTCACATACTTCTTTTTTTTTAGGACCAAGATGCCAATACCCAAAAAGAGTAAAGAAGATGCAAACAAGGAAGCCTATAGTATAGATGCCTCACAGGAAGCCAAATCCTTCTTAGAGAAAATCATGGGTGATGTGAGCAAATCTTCAGCGACCAAACAGATCATCATTGGTACCACATCAGGATGGTACGCACTTTGTGCCTTGTCATAATTGTTTATTTCTCAGTATCTGAGCGTTTAACACTTATTAGGCACATCTTCTGTACTAACTGTCTTGTAACTTAGGGTAACTGGATTCGTCACCATGAAGATTGGAAAGGTGGCAGCCTGTGCAGTCGGCGGTGGAATCATCATGCTGCAAATAGCTGCACATCAGGGTTACATAAAAATTAATTGGGACAAGATTATGAGTAAAGCCGAGAAAATAACAGATAAGGTGGAAGAAAAGATTACCGGTGAAGGACCAAATTTCATGGATAAGGTGAGACAAATGTCAAGTTGCTGCACCAAGATTTTGTAGTTTCTCTAAATTGAGTTAAAGATTGGAAGTTTCCTATTTTTTAACTTCTTCCTAGAAACACATACATATCTTAAAAAATATTAAACAATAAATGTTCAATTACAACCTAATACAAGCTATCGGAAACAATTTGGAATATAAGACGAAATTTGCTGGATACATTCAAAAATATGTAACTAACTAAAGAAAGTAGAAAAATAAATTCAACGAGCGTACTTACATGCAGACATGTTAAAAAAAGAAAGATCTTAAATTAATTGTACTATATACACTATTTCGTTTTTATTATATTTTTTAATTTTATATACTGAGGATGGCCTAATTGAAGGCCGAAACGTCTATTAATTGTAATTCTATAATGTATTGACTTTAAGCTTTACTATAAAACATCGAGCGTTCGTACATATGCCCTTAATTTCTCCGTTTTTAAAAAATATTATGATTATCTTCAACAGAGATCGAATCTGTAACTTTATTTTCAACTTTAACATACTCAACAAATCGCTTGCGTTTAATCATTCCTAATTATAGGAAATATTTTTACTTGTGTTGTTTATAATTTTTTAGTTTACAATTTTTTCAATGTAACGTTCCTACTGTTTGCAGGTAGGGATACTGTGGAGGAAGAACTCATACATTGCCACGAGTTTTCTTGGCGGTTTCATTATCGGTCTATCTTGGTGAAGTAAAGAACAATAACTTTGAAGTTTTATGCGAAAATGTGAACGAACGTTCAGTATGTTGTCATCATACATATTACTGTTGCGTTTACAGTATCCATATTGAATGATATTAATTCAATATTAAAATTTAATACGACAATATTAACCAATAAGAATTAATATCAATATTAATTTTAATGTCGAATGAAATTTATATATCAATATCATTATAATTTTTGTATAGTCCCCAATAAAAATATTTAATAAAATTAATTATGGTGTGCAGATTTTACCAACTCCGCTTCGATGTAATGCTAAGTCACTGATGAATGTTATTGCGTTCCAGGCCGAGAGATTCGTCGATAGAAAGCTGGATAAAGCCGAGCGATTGCTGAAACAAGGGAAAACCTGTACGCGGCGCTGGTACCACATGTTGACCGGCGGCGACAATAGCTTCCAGCCAACGGAATTCCATTTCTTTCTAGTCTCATACGTGGCGGGAGTCGCAATCGGTATCGCCACTGCTAACTAGGTAATAAGTTGCTGCACTCTGAACGCAACCAAAAGGAAGATTGACATCCACATCGCGTCAAAAGACAGCTGCTCCACTGCTATTGACGCACATGACAATGTCGTCGACGAGTATAACAATACAATCATGGACGAGGTAAGAAACAAGATCAACGTGTTGAAGAAATGGGTCGCGCGAAGTACGCTTAATAATCCTAGATAAATAGCTTTATTTTTTAGTTTATCATTGTTGTTAGCGATGAGTAAAATTTATTCATGCATTATAGAACTGCTTATATTTTTCCTTCTTTTAGATTCTGAACTGAGAATAGATAATAGAATAGTTTCAAACAGTTTATGTAAACTATTTTAAGATTAACAAGTAGAATAAACTTTACTCATCGTTACCATCTCTAGAGTTAATACATCAAACAAATGAAAGTCCCTAATGTTTTCTAGACGTCTAAAATTAAAAAAGATCAATTTATAGCATTGAGATTTATTGAAATTTTTGTATCGCTTTGGTATATTTATTTTTATTCTATCCTATAAATTTGCGCACAGTTTGGAATATATCTTACGAAAAGAATTTTAGAATCTTGATAATTTTGCTGTAACATCTGCATAGAACAGATGCAAACTAATATATATATATATATACATATAATATATATATATAAAACATGTGCATATGAAATAATAGAGGTTGCTTGTTCGTTCAGAATGCAGCAAGAAATTAGTCATTCTAGGATGTAAATCATTAGACTAATATTGTATATTACTTGTTATAAAGGATTGTGATTCCAATTTTTCTTTCATTATTTACATTTAATTCGCTAATGCCATGTATTTACATCGCATTGTTTGTACTTATATATACAGATCTTAATATGTACTATCTACAATAAAAATTATTTAATGATATTCAAATGCAAATATTTAACAAATTTCAATCACTTATTATAAATAATCTAGCGATAAAAATTGTTTGACTTATATTATTAATATGTAGGAAAGTATTATTATATTGCCAAATGTATGTTAAGCAATGTTTGTCAAAAGTATTGTGTTTGAAAGTACTTAAACTGCCCCTTATTTAACATAATTAGATGATAAAAATCTTTTCTAGTATAATCAATTTAGAAATAATTCCTAAGTTAATGTCATAGAATAAAAATGAATGATGAAACAAATAAATATAAACACATTTTGAAACAATAAATTATAATATATAATATATAAATGTATATATAATACGATATAGCAGTATAAAACATTGTCTATCAGAATACTATAAATGCATACAGTACCTCAAAATCTTTTCAGACACTGCATTATTATACTCCTGAGACGTTTACGGATCTTTTGATCGCCGTTGCAGAAAATGTGCGTAGAGTTATCTCCGATCTGAATTAGAGTGTCCTCGTCTTGCTGCAAGTAGACATTAATTCTTTTAATTATATCGATTGTGTTTATATAATTATCGAAAAAGATTATTTTCTATATTTATATTGAAAAAGTCAAGATGAGATATCCAATCATACCAAATGAATACTTGTAGAGGTAGGACTGTGCTGTAATTTGGCTCCATGAAAGCCTTCCTGATTGAGCTTTTGCAGCAATTCTTGTGGATCCAAATTCCCGTACTCATGCTTTCTTTCCTTCAGCACTTCTTCCATGATTGGCGCAGGCGAACCCAATGACATTTTCCTCTTTCCAGTCAGTTTGTCCTCCACATTCTATAAATGTTACGTATTTAGAAACGAAATTATGTATAAACAAATATATTGCATTTTTTTTTCTCCCAGTAAATCTCTCATTGAAAATATCTTCTACAAAAGAGCATGTCGTAATATTTATCTTGACCATGAAATTCATCTTTATCATTATTTATCTTTATATATATTAGTAATTACTTTTATAGTATACACGTTGTCCTTGACATCAAGCTCGCCGGTAACAGATGCCAGACTCAAGCCAGGTCGCACTTCACTCGGTACAATATTGCTAGCTAATTCCGGCTCAATAAACACACGGCCCTTCTTCCGCTTTAATGGCAATTTTATCACTTCTCCGCGTTTGAAAGTAATCAAGGGTTTTTCCTTGAACAAAGTAATTATGCAAGTTATTTTATAGGATACGTTTTTTTTAATACATATATATATTTTATAAATATAGTAAAGAAAGAATACAAAACAGAGATTGAAAACATAAATTATGTAAAAATGAGAAATTTGTTTCATTAAATCTTATCGTTTCATTAAATTATATCTGTCTATTAAATAGAAAACTTATATCTACCCCAATGGATTCGATGACAAGATCCGTTCTATGCGGTGCCATCCCGGGGGGCTGTGTGTAAACCTCCGGAATTACTAAATGCTCTGGCTTCAAATCTCGTATGAGTTTATTAGCCTGAGTAAAGTTCAGAGAGGTATCGATGGGACAGTGCACTGCTTTCATAGACAACGGTTGGAAAGGTGCGAGGGCTTCCAAATATGGAAAATCAGGTTCTGTGTGTAAGAAAATTATATAAATAATATTACAGAAAATATTAATAAAATATAATAGAAATAAATATATGCAATCGTATATTACATACGGATATGCAAAAAATATTCAGAAAATAATGTAACGCAGCTTGTATTAACTATTGAAATATTAGAAAGAAATGTTTAATGTTATCTATATTATACCTACATATATTTGTTTGATATTTAATATTTATCTTATTTCGAGGGCTAGATCCCTCATGGATTTTAAATTCGTAATTTGTATAAGGTAAGAATAAGAGGCTCTTATTACAGAAATTTCCTTGGTCCTTTCATTCAAAAATGTATATGTGACAATCACATTACATAAAATATTTATTGTTGCAAATATTCATAAAGAAGAATGAATCTTTAGAAAAGGACAAACTTCAACCACAGTATTGGAGCCAATGTTGATTGATTAATTTATCCTATTTCTAGAATGATTTTTACTCAATATAGAATTGCAAACGCAAACTTATTGCATTATTTTTTGAATAGAATTATGTAGACTTACCGGTAAAAATTACGGTATGCAAAGGATTGCTGCCCCATAACTGCACAAAATGCACGGCATCGCCAAATCGAAGGCTGGGATGGCCGCAGAAGACGACACAAGGCTGTCTGTAATCACTGCTGAATCCTTCAGCATATGTAGATGTATAATGCTTCAATCGAGCATTCTTCACGAGGAAAGCATGTGGAAACGGTTCCTCTGGAAGATAAACTTTGTTTTGTTTATTTGTCGACAGCCTAAAAGTAAAAAATGATAGTAAAATACAAAATAAAAAATAATAGAATGCAATATATCAGGAATATCTTAGAATCACTTCATTGATTATACCATTCAGCAAGAATATTCGAATAAGCCAAGGATGTCTCGGCCACAGGTGAGATGAAGAATAGAGGCACTTGCGTGAAGCCTGACTTGTCCAGATTCGACGCCGGAGGGATAACAAGGTATCAAGACGCATCCACCAGCTCTAAGAGTCACAGCTGCAATTTTTATGTGTGTGGTGAGATAAAACATTACCTAAATTATATTTTTGTTCAGAAAATAACCAGCGATAAAAATCCAAATAAATCATAATGCATCTAATAAAGAAAACAATTGTCAGAAAAAAATCTCGTAAGAAAAATACATTGATATCTTTTTATCATTTCTCCTAAGAAATATGATTTTAATATCAAAGTATCAAAAGATCATCTTTTTGCTAGATATATCACAATTTATCAGATACTGAGATTATTCTTACCAACAGTCATGCACAATTCCCCAAGCATTGTGTCTGGGTTGGCAGTTGGTGTTTGTGTTAAGCCTGTCAAAATCAATAGATTTGCGTGCTTCAACGTGACTTGATCCATGGGTTTTGGATGAGTAGTCAGTGTAGACGAACCGCTGACAAAAGCAACCTTTTCATGGTCGCTAGAGATCAACCAATTACTACTACCTAAACAAAATCCCGAACTGATTGGTGTCACTGTTAAAGCACCATATATATCCTGCAAGTAATTCGAATGTGATTATTGGGTTTTTATCTATGAAATCGTTGATTGTGAAGAAATCTTGAGTTTATGAAAAAGAAAAATGACTTGTCTCTAAATATGTGTGATTGTGAATTTAAAGTACTATTAAGTATTTCCAGTTACACTCGTTTGTTCTAAGAAAAAATTTTCTAAAAATTATTGCTTATTATAATTTTCTAAAAACTGGCTATTATAAACTCAACATTTCATATAAAAAATAATACGTTAATCTGTATGTCTTAAACTTACCAGCTTTTGATCATATCCAACCATTTGAATGTTTGATAGTGCTGAATTCACGGCCGATATGGAATAAATATGCTTCCAGGATTTTGGTTTAACAACCTCAGCTAATGGAGATGGCAACGTATGTAACATGTCCTTCCAATGTTTGGCCATTGTCGCCTTAGGAGTCCGCTCGATGAATTCTACTAATTCCTCCATAAAAAACCGTCCAATTTGCAATGTTGGTTCGGTAGCATATATTATACCTTTGAATCATTATGTTTATAAAATAATATATACACAAAGTGTCTGGCAACAGATGGAAGAAAATTAAAAAATTCTAGATAATAAAATAAGACGAAAATCAAGAATAATGAAATTGCAAATTCAATTTCGCTTCTTAATTATAAATGTTTAAACGTTTGTATATATGTATTATATAAATGTTTCAGAATTTATGATAAAACATTTATGATAAAAAAAAATGAAGTCAAATTCGCTGAAGACAAATTTTATTTTTGATTTTCAACTTATTTCATCATCTAGGGAGAATCACTTCTTAAATTTTCTCCCACCTATTGCCAAACACTCTATATACATACACATATACATTTTGCCAAAAAAATTAGAAACGGCTAGACATTGGATAGTTTCCTCAATAAGTGATACATACGGCTCCAATGCATAGGATTTTTTTCATAGGTCTTGTCAAGAGAAATCAAAATAATCCTGTGTAATATTTTGCCGCATCTATCACCGTTTCCAAGATAATAACCCTTTTGCTTAAATCTGTATATAACTTAATCAAAGTGTATCATCTTGCATACACTTGTTATACCTTTAAAACCTGTGCCTTCCGTTATGAACGGCAATGCGAGCATACATGTATAGTTGGATATCAAAATGGCATCAATCTCTGAGAAATCAATTATTTTCTCCAAAGGGGGAGTGAACTCTGGAACTGAATCTACAAAAACTCTACCACAACATTCTTTCAACTCCTTAAAATAAAAATAATTATTTGTAATTGTTTAAAATAATTTAACAACATACTGAAAAGGGTAATTATTTAGAATACCATACCCACCTAAAATCTTAATAAAAATACATTCATTTGATATCTTTTCACTCAAAATGAAAGAATCTGGCAAAAAAATGCGGCGGTCGACCTCGTGGACCGAGATATTGGCCTAGTTTACGCCAAGCATATTAAGTACCAAATCACTTGATACGCTTGATATAAACGCTGGCGAATTATTTTTATCTGATACTTCTGAATCGAGTATCAGACCAAACTGGTACGCGTATCAAATGGTATCAAAGAATCTCAGCGTGCTGTAAACGCTTGGTTCGTTTTGAATCGTATATTAAAATTCGCCACTGCTTTTAAGTTTAGGTTAAAGTTAGAATTAGAGGTTTTACATCTTGAAAAGCAGTGAAGACATCATGGAAGATTTCCAACAAGCACCACTGTGAGACACAGTGATCACCTCATCCTTGTTTAACATTGGCAAACAACAAGGATGCAACGATTCATCGTGTCACTCTGTGTCTCTTGTTGGAGAAAACTTCCTTAAACAAAAAACAGAATTGTATTAAAATATATTACGTAAAATCTATAAAAAATACAAATGGCAAAAATAATTGTTATATAATATCATATGTATAAGATAAAAATGCTCTAGAGCGTCATTCAAAAGTTTGACAACCATGAGTCAGACTCTGTATTCGACTATGCTTTTCGGTTGTCTAATCGTGCCATGGCGAGTCGTTGCTGGAAAGTATGTCAAACACCCCCAGATAGCAACGTGTTTGTCTTGTTGCTGGCATATTGCTTGCTAAGTATGTGTTGCTACCAGCAACTGATTTGCAACTAAATTGCAGCAACTGAGTCCTCATTTGTTGGCAACTTGATGCCTTCACGATGATAACGTTGAGTAGCAACTTGCCAGTAATTTGCTGACTTTAAAATTGTCATCATCAAAATTCGTACTATTGTCATCATGTTGCCCTAATAATATGCAGCATTATACAATGCTGTCATATTGCCGACAACGTAAGACAACATTGATGTAGCCATTTTGCTGTTAAACTGCTGGCAATACGTATACACATTGTTGTCTGCATGTTGCTACAATGTCGGTACATTCGAAATCGTTGAAGACAAATCTACGGCAAATTGTCAGCATCATAAGCAATCACAGATTTGCAAGATTTGCTGAGACACGCTTTGCTATCTGGGTCATGTCGACTTGTGTGTCGTTTAAAGCCTTAATGGAAAGCACCTGTTTCTATTGTGTCCAATCGTGCTGTGGCGTGTCGTCGTTGGAAAGAATCATTCCCGACACTGTGACGATGTGTGTCACCTAAAAACCTTAATGGAAAGCTCCCCATGTCACCTAATCTGATCTGTTCTAAGGCAGATCGGTGTAAATAAGGATGTATCAAATATTTAATCCGCATCAATTTGATAGGCGTACTAACTGATTTAACAGTGTAAAAGGGGTCAAGTGTTAAAGAAACGAAATTCTAGAAAAATACTATAATATATGTAATATATACTGTGGTATTTCTCTACTTTCATATACGTTTCTTTTCAAGAATAGAAGCCCAGGTTGGTGCAAATCCAATTGGGCCGAAAATGCTATATCTGTCATCTCCACTCGATACAGTGCTATTATGTATGCTTTAATTACACAAATTCACTGCTTTAAAAATATAAATTCACTGATTTAAAAACACAAATTCACTGTTAATGCAAAGAATTTGTGTGCTTAAAGCAGTGAATTTATATTTTTAAAGCAGTGAATTTGTGTTTTTTTTTATAGTGAATTTGTGTTTTTAAAGTAGTGAATTTGTGTAAAGCAGAACATGTACATAGCGCTATATTGAGTTGGGATGACAGATATCTTAACCTCTAAAATCTTAAATTTTAACGTTTAATATCTCGGTTCACGAGGCCGACTGCCGCATTTTTTTGCCAGATTCTTTCATTTTGAGTGAAAACATGTCAAATGAATGTATTTTTATTAAGATTTTAGATGGGGTATGGTATTCTAAATAATTACCCTGGAAAGGATTAAATGTTTAAATTCCATCTCACTAACCCCTTCAATTTGCCAATCTTGCTGATTATCATTGCGCGGCAGCCACGTCGACAAGGAATTAAACTTGTTGCTAGGAACCATAGGCAAAGGCATGAAATGTAAAATGGATTGCATGTTTAAACCGCAATCCAACATCAGTGTGGTTCCTTTGAAAGTTAGAACCAAGCATGGCTTTGTTGGCTCACTGGACAGGCAATACTAAAAATACCAAATTGTCAATTAATTCTTATAATGTATCAACTCGGAGAACTGGATATTGTTATTTTGTATTATTAATTCTTCATTATACTAAAGTATGAAGCTATAAATTAATTTTATATGTAATACAGAACATTTAGATAATGAACTATTATTAATAGAAACAATTCTATTTTCTGTCAAAGCGAATCTTGGTGTTTAGTAATATCCAAATTAGTAAATTTTTCAGTTCTATAAACTGCATGTCGATTCAAACTTGAAATTGGAACTCATAATATCACAAACATATTGGAAATACCATTATAAATTATACTGATCGTCGATTTAATAATGAAGAATTTCCATTTATAATTATTATTCTAACAATTCTAGTTTCTTTATATCAAATATAAATAGGTACCGCTAATTCTTCCTCACCAAGAAACTTTCGCATTTTGAGGTTATGTTTACATACTTCCAAGTTATAAATAAAAAGCAAGTGTAGCTTTATCAACTTTTAATTAAACGACTTTTAACGACTTTTAATTAAAACAATTATAATTACCAGCCTCATCTTGAATCCTTTATTTACAAATTCCACATAAGAGTATATCCATTCCAGTTGACTTCTTTCTGGTAACACAAAAAAGCCGGTTTTTACATGCCAAGTAAACAACTTAACTGGTCCAGGCCGTCCAGGATTGCCAGATAAACCCACAAAACATGTACTAAAACCCGAGCTGATATCGCCCCCTAGGAAGCTTTTCGTAGCCAAAAGTCGCCATTTTGTTGGTGAATTTTCGCCAATAAAATCGCCAAAATCTTCGAACTTTTAACTAAAAAAAAAAATAATAATAAGGGAAACAATGATCATTTCAATTATACAACGAAACTTCATTTTTTGCATATATTTTATTTTACATATTTTCATAAGTATTATATTATTTTCAATCTTTCACAATAAACTTTTTTCAATCTTTGACAATAAAATAACATTGTGCGAGTTCTTATACTTGTTGTTTTTCAAAATTTATAACATTGGTAAATTATTGTATAATTACATTATATAAGTATCTTTGGTAATCTTTTTAAACAAAATGCACATTACGTGATTAATTTGCACACAACCATATGAGTTTTATAATAATTATCCCAGCAAACACACAAAGTTACATGTAACGTACCCGTTAATTGTAATTTCTCACTCAACAATAGGTCTGTTCGCGTTGCTTGCACTTTTGGCACTCGGTATCTTCGCTTTCTCTCTTTTCAAGGCCAAATATATATCTATCTCATTTTAAGTGCAAAAATATTTGGGGATTTCATGCAACGCGAACAGACCTAATATAACTGTAATATAACACACATGTTCTCAACACCCATCCGCGAAATTTCAATATTTACTAAAAAATCAGCAGCCACCAATCAGCGCATCAGAAAATTTCCCAGCGTTTGGAGACGAAAGAGACGAAGGAGAGAGAAATCGCCAAAGACGCCAACCTCAGAAATTTAGTCGCCAAGAAAGTCGCCAGTCGCCAAATCCGAAAATAAAGTCGCCCGACCAAGTCGAAAATCGCCAGTTTGGTGATAAATCGCCACATCTGGCAACACTGAATTGGTCAAATCTCAAATTTAAACTTTCGAATTTTTGATAGATTTCTTTCTTCAACTTTTTCTCGAACTTTCTACTTCTAATGCGGGGTCTTAGTCCAGTAGAATTAGGGTTTTTTCGCGGAAAAATTGTAATTGGAGATATAATTCATGCATTTCTGCAGGAATATATAATTTTATACACAACAGGAAATAAATGCAATAAATTTCCACACAGTTTGTCTTGATTCTTCTTATTTCAAGCGCGCGCGCGCGCTTTGAGCGTTACCGACTCAGCATCGATAAGTCCAGCCACTACTATGACCCAGCGAATTA